ATAATTATATAATTATACACGATTACATGTGCTACATTATAAATCTGTGTATAATTTATAATATAAGAAGTATAGATCGAATTCAGTATCAAAAAGAACAGAATTAGCAGCATAATGTAACAGAAAGCATCGCAGAAATCTTACATCTTGTAGTGTTTATGATAGTTTAAGATTATACTCACATTATGCACAAATAATAATAATAAAGCAAATTGATTGTTATTCGTGAAATTATTTGAATCACGTATAGCCAATCATCCTGAATTAAACTCTTCACGACAGTGTTATTGTTATAGAATTAAATTGACAACAGACATAATACCAATAAAATAATGAGGGATATAAATAGACAGATTTTTCTTGATTTGCGTTTCAACGGTGCAATGACTGAAACGCTGGAGACAAGAAACATTAATATAGACTCAAAGAAAGATTGTATTCAAATTTTACATGTAGTCATTACATATATACACGACATATACATCGAAAGTTACCTCTCCTGTATCTGCGTACAGACATAAAAATGGAGATTGGTGTATTGACTAGAAAATTGTTTCTCCCTGCATCTACATTACTGTACATGTATACTTTACATACACGATATACTTTAACGTAATAGTGCGCGCTTAATAATATACATATTACTAATTACATACTTGAATAAAATAATTATAAATATATAGAAAGATATCACCAGGAACATTGATATGACATAATCGGCGGTACATTTTATGAACACGAGATTTTATACCTAGTAAATAGCTTCCGAAAACCGTGCTTCAACGTGTTTTGGCATGCTTTTATTGCCTGACTTATTGGGATATCACGTCTGAATTTAGTTTAGACAAAAGTCGTGTCGTTTTCTTTTAATTCGATATCCTCGATACGGTTGGATCATTGGCTTAATTCTTGAACTCCAGCGTTTCATTAGTCTGACTGTCTATAGCTTGAGGAGAAAAAAAGCTGAAAAATGTTATGTGCAATATTACGCATTTAAAAGACATTATCATGGAATGATCAACTTTAATATATATATCTCATGTGTTTATAACAACAACAATCTAAAATATGAAAGTGTACTACATATCATGCTTCAACATTACTCGCACTTCAGATATATCCATCTTGCGGATCTTTCAAAAAGAAATAAATATTTTTAGACGTTTCCTATTTGGTAACACAAGTTGACATAAGTATCGTTCTGTTTTTGTTACTCGTGGAATGCCAAGATAGAACATTTGTGTTACTTGTGTCACTAAACAGAAAACGTTCTTTAACAGCACATCATCATCGAGAGTTATTTTATTGAATGTTACAAAGATTTTCCTTGATATGATCATCCTTGGTCGCATTGGTGGCAAAACACAAGAACTTCAATTTATGATGAACATAATCGGTGTACCGCAACTCGATATATCTAAAGTCCGAGTAAAGTTCTATCTAATCCTCCGTACGCTGAAAATACCTAATCTCGATGCGTTTACAGAGATTCACGAGCTTCGGATGATCCTGTACGATCATAGCCAGCTTGTCAAGTAGCGGCGTCGTGATTATCGTGAATATGTGACCAAAAACCAAAGCGTCCAACTCGTTGGGTTTGCTACATACAAAATCATGCGAATAAATCTCGTTAATATCGCATTAGCGATCGATATGTATATTTATATATTTGTAAAATCGTTACATATTTACTTAGAAAAAGTTAGATATATTTCGTTAATTTATCGACAATGTAAAAGAATGCTCGGAAAAAGGAGGAAGCGATTCAGGTTGTGATCGAAAGCCATCCCACAGAGTATCTTTGGAGACTGATTCAATTATTTCAAACTCTTCCGCAATCTCGTTTTGTATTCCAAAACTAAAGTAACGATGTTCGATTCTGAACATGTGCTCGAGAAGCTTGGGAAACTGACGAATTATGGCAGCGACTTCTTCATTGTAAGGGAAGGAAGGCGACGTGAGAGTGTAAATATGACCATATACCAAGGCATCGACTTCGGTGGGTCTTATGGAACAGGATAATTTGTCAAGTGTCAACTGAATCAATAACAAAAAGGAGAAAGAATGAGAAGAAACATAATTACTACTTACTCTTTCCCAAAGAAAAATTCTTCGTCCGCTAGCCTCTCAGATAATGCTATGCAACACTTCTTTACATCATCGAAAACTTCATCCAAACTTTTGTTGTACCAGCCGAGTATGCTGAGTTTTTTTATGACTTCTCGTCTCTTCTGCCAATTCAGATAATGATTAAGTGGCCAAGGATATACACTTCCGTGCCTCTGCTTTGTGACGTTTAAAATCACAGGGTTTACCCAGCAGATGTATAGCTCAGCATTAACAAATACATTGTTAACAAGAGATTGGTATGCTCTCATGTCCACTTTGCCATCAGGATCCAGATGATCGGAGAGACTTATTCCTTTACTTCCTATGTGTGCCACTATACCATCAAACTCAGATATTAACTTTGTGCCGCACTTGATGAAGGGCACGCGGCCTGACGGTGACATAAACTCTGCATTCTTCCTCGGTTCTATTTGAAAATCGAGCTGACACATCTTGAGGAAAGCCTGTACTGCAAGACAGTTTGCATTGTCGGGAAGCAGAATCTGCTCGACTTCGTATGGCTGATACAAGGTAATTGGTTGTGGCCATGGCTCCTGAGCTGCGACAAGAGAATGCAATTGCTAGCGACGCTCACAAGGTGGTTCACCTATATTCTCTAATGACACTTACATAATCGGTACTCGCATACGCACACATGTGAAGAACTAACGAGTGAAAAGCTACGACATAAGGGAAAAAACTGGATGATTGAGGTAAGGTCGAATAGTTGGATATTTACGAATTTGACGGTGACAGCAAGCAAGAAGGTTATGCGGTTTTGTTTACAGTTTTGTTGATGCAAGGTTAGATCCCTCAAGCGGGATTTGTGAGAACGGCGGTTTGGACAATGCGATTCAACGCAATTTTCAGACATTACCTTCCAATTCTACCGCGATCGAATCGCCCAGCAATACGTGCGGCATGTCTACGACAATCGTACGACGACGCTGCCTCTTATTTCGCTGCCTCAAAATCCACAATCGATCGCTCCCATAAAAGCGCCACGAGCGAGAAACGAGCACATGCACTTTCTCCCTTACGGCCTCACATATGTTTATATCTTATATATCGCGAAATAAAGTTGACAAAAATAGACCAAATTCATGAAAAATTCGATTATATTTTGATTAATTTAATCAGCGATAAATTTATCAAATCAAAATATACTTTTTAGTATTTCGTATAATGCGGACAGAATTATTGTTGTGGAAAGAGTTTGATTAATGTTATGTGTGTGTAGTTATAATTAAAACTTGTTGGCTCCTCGGCCCATCAAATCAATTACTTATAAATTAAATTAATTGGAGTTTAATTGAAAGTGTCATATTTACCATGTAAATTAATAAAGCATCGATCAAGATCCCTCGTAGAAATATTTCCAGTTTCTTCCGCGTCGACTTGAGATTTCTCCTGAATCGATGCAAACAAATTAAATCTTACAATTAAATCAAATCTCTGTTTCGCAGTTATTTATGAAATATTATATTTATATTATTTTTATGTTATGTTACATTAATTATTATGTTATTATTCGTTGAAAAGTAACCTTTGAGGACTCGAGAACAGATAGAAATGCATGCAGAACACGTGCGTACAACGACAAATTATTTTTCTTTTCTATATCTTGAAACTCATTCTGATAAGAATGCATGGTCGTTAAACAAGAACCTCGCATTTCCCTGTTGATAAGACTTGTAATTTTCCGCCGCGGTTTAAATTTTGGTCCGAATTTTATAACTGCGATGTGTTTTTTTTCTAAAAGTGCAATTTTATGCAACGAAGGAAAGCTAGCTTTTTATCCCCACTTCGATCACAATCAAAGTATTCAAAAACTGTTCGCTCTTCTCCTGCTTCCTTTTGCGTATCTTCGCTGACTTTAAATTAGAAATGAAACTGGCGAACACAATCGTTAGAGAGCTGAAAAAAAAGAGAAACGATGGAATTCAACAACAGAGCAAAAAAAAACTTGCGCTAAGAGATAATAAAATAGAATAAAGAGTGTTTCAAAACAAAACTAAATTGATTCATATATATGCGCGAACTGAATTTTGTATACATAATATTGAAATGAGATGAAAATTACAAAAGCGAATTTATTAGAATTTATAATTCTATTAGTCAAATTCTAGTGAATTTGCTCATTTTTGTAATTTTCACCTTGTTTGAAAATACACAATCAATCCTTATATAGAGATCTCTCAGTTTTTGGAGATTTTTTACTACAATTGTTTAACATATATTCGAATTATACATTAAAAATTTCTATTTAAATTATACGTATTTAAATTACTATATATATTATATAACGTATATTAAATAAAAACTCCTTATATGCCAAGTTTATAATTAGATAAACTTAATATTTGTTAACCATTTCTACATGTTTCGTTATCCACAGAATACAAACTATATGGCATCAATATTATAATTTTTTTTGCAAACCAAGGTTTGTAGAAATAATGTTTTAAACATATTTTAAACTATTTAAAAAACTGCTTAAATGCGATGTTTTTAACATATTTTAAAAAGTTTTTTATAATACTGTCTAAAGTATGTATGAAGCATTAAAAACATGTTAATAAAACATTTTTTTGTCAACTCTGCTTTTAACAATGTACATATATAAATCTAATAATAACACATGTTTTACATTGTTGAGCCTAACATTATTAATTATAATATTGTTATAATATTACAGTAGTTTGTTCAGCAGCTGTGCGGATCTAAAATATATATTAAAAATGAAATATGAGCGAGAGGAAAAAATTTATTCTTTCCAGTTTAATTGTAATTTCTGGAATAGCAATACGCGTACTATTACAAATTGCAAACTCTTTTATCGCCGACAAACGCGTACTATGTCAAGATCGATCAAATGGGTGAGAACCTTCCGGGTGGTCCGAAGTCATTGGGGCGAAAGAGGGGAGCGCTCTGAACGTTGGAGCATATTTGTGATTGATCGCGATTAATTGCGGAGGACGATTGGCATGCGTGACGTTTGTCGCCTCTCCACCAATCACGCGATCTCATTGACTCTCCGAGAGGCCGAAAAATCGAATCAAATTCCATCGAGACGCGACAGTTGCCGATACTGGATTTCGTTTCAATTAATAAGAGGATCGTGTGAGAGAGAAAAAGAGAAAAAGGAACGAAAAACAGAAAAGGAAAGATGGAAAAAAGTCGTCGATTTGGCGTATTATAAAAATACAGAATTGAAGATAAATTGAAGATAAAGCAGAATATTTTTCAATGACGAATCTCTATCCTTTTTCATATCATAGATTTTTATGATATATATAAGCTTGAACTTTTGTTTAAACGAAAAAGTTCAAGCTTATATATATCATAAAAATATTGCAAATATATAGAAAATATATATTTATATATTACATAGATATATATAATTAATAAATTATATATGTATTTGAAAATAGAATCAGAATTGAAAGAAATACGTATTCCTGATCGAATATATAACATCGAGTCACCGTCCTCCTCTTCCTCCGTCGTTCTATATGTTCTATACGTTCTGTAGGTTCTGTATGTGCCTGTATCGTCTGTATCGGCGCGTGAATGTATATGAGTACGAGCAGTACGAGTGAACTGTGAGGATAGAGGAGCATCGCGTTGCGCAAACGACCCGCGCCGTCGGGCGACCAGCAGGCCGCCAGTCTATCTAAGTCTATCGTTCACGCCGAGCTATCATCTTCTTGCGCTAAGCGCTACGTTCAGAGGTAGGTATACTGTACTTGTTGCTTACGGACGGGCCGCGCGGCGCAGTTCGTCACGGGGCATAGATAGAAGTGGGATACTGGGATAGAGAAGGAGGGTGCGAAGAAGTAGCGGCCGGTCGTGCGAGAAGAGAAGAGACGAGACGAGACGAGAAGAGAAGAGAAGAGAAGAGAAGAGAAGAGAAGAGAAGAGAAGAGAAGAGAAGAGAAGGAAGTAGGAAAGAAAGGGAAGACTACACGCACGGCTCTCCACGCGACACCTCCGTGTCGCACGCGCCGATCAGCGCAGATCATCGCAAGCCGGGTGAGAGAAACAAAAAGAGATAAAACGTGTCTCGGTGACGATCCACAATCGTCACCGATATACGTCAGCACTGGTCAGCACTCGACACGCCAGCAGGGTCGTCGAGTAGCCTCGATCGAACGACGGGGCACGTATCGTGTCCCCGGCTACTCCGCCGCAAGAGCTGGAAAGCCCTGGCCTTCCTAACCTAAATTCTAAATTCTGTCAGTCGGCGCCGAAACTACCGAACGGTAGTCGGTACGTCGAGGAAGGGAGAATGAGCCAATGAGGAGAAGGTGGACAGCAACGAGATTTCTCTCGTTTTCCTTCTCTCTCGCCGTCTTCTAATTTCCTACTTCCAATTTTTTGACAGCTAAAAATACAGTTTTTGATAGCGGCTACGTCGCGACTATTTCGGCGCCGGCCGTAATGCCTATAATTCTCGGCCGCACTTTTCCGTGTTCGCGAAGGTCCCTCCTCGCCGACGCGTGAAAATCCTTCGTGCGATGTCCTTTCTTTTTTTTTCTCTCCTCATAAAAAATGATCTGCGCGGTAAAAAGGAGCAGTGCCTTGCGATTCGATCGAGGCATAAGTAGATCGAGATCTCGCATCGATTCGCGACTAGTTTCATTGTTTACCGATTATATACATTTATGGATTATGATACGCAGCGTGTCTCGAACGCACGAGGATCGACGACACGCGCCAATCACATATGTACATCTGTTTATCGACGTAGAATAGCGTCATTAGCATCGCTAAACGACAGTTAGCAGATCGAAAGAGGAAAACAAGGTGTAAGGGGCGAACACAGCGCACCGGTGTCGAATCGCACGCAAATATGAATGAACGAATACCGAAGTCACCGGAGATCGAATATCGATTTATTTTTAGCCACGTACGTTATCGACATCCTATCTTGCGCACGTTATCTCACACCCTGTCACTTGTAATTTATGGGAACCGATAATTATTTCTCCGAATAAAATGTTTAGATTTGCATTTTATAACAGATCGTCATTGATACTTGAAAATTTCCCATATTTTCAGGTTGATTCGATTGCGGAGTTTTTCACGCTATAATTTCGAACAATTTTAAACGAGATAAAATTTAAATCCCATTTTCAAAATTCAAGTTTTATTTCTTTCTGTTTGATATCTTTCTTTGATATCCTCTACACAATGAAAGAGTTATTATACTTGAATCCTCGAAAATTGGATTCAAATGTTATATTTCATTCAGAATTGTACTACCTTGTCCTAACATTTTTTTTTTTCCAGCAAACCCGACTGCTATCTTAAATCGTAATTCCTAAGCTTCAAGTTGGTTAGATTCCAACTGCAAAATTTAGAGCTTGGAGCAAATTAACGTCACAACTCGAAGCTTAGATTAAAAGGCTAAGAGGTTACTACATCTATTAGACCGAAGTTAATCCTAAGATAATACAGAGTACATGCGAAGAACAAACAATTGAAACAACAAAGTCAACTCTTTTTTTTTCAGCCAGCAGATCCGATGAGACTGAGCGAAACGAAGAACGCAATTCTCACGCGTGGGACGACACAATTAATTAGCAAGCCGAGCCGTTTTCAGATTTCCAACGAGAACAATCTGCGCGTCGGTCCTTTTACAGAGATATGTAGTGCACGAAAGATGTCACGTCTAGATGTACGTGGCGCTCTCACGTGCGCGCGTATCAGCTTTATTTTAATCTCTTTCGCGCTCTTTAATGCCGAACGGCTCGTCATCTCATGGGAAAGTTAATCGTTATTTTATATTTAGCCGGTTTAGCTGTATAATTTTATTGTGATGCGCGCACGAGAGTACGCTTTTAATATAGATTAGATGTTTATATATACATATACACGACAGAATGAGTCAGGCAGTACATATTGCATAAGATGTCGCGACGCTGGATGGGTCTATGTCCAGACTTAGCCGCAGATTGCTTGTATCAATAAATGCAACGTTGGATAGATATCTGTTCAATAAGTAGCGTAATTTTGTTCGTTCATTGACTTGCTCGTTCGTTATTTAACGATTTCGAAAAAAAATAACATTAAAAAAAATTTTTTCAAGTGTTTCTACATGCCTTTTTTCTTGTATTTATATATTTCTGGAGTTTTTCTTTTTCACCGGCCTTGTAATAATTTACTTCTATCGCACGAATTATTAGTGGGAATTACCCAAACGTAACGAAAGCGAAGGTTGAACAATTTTTAAAATAATTTGTTAAACGTTGTCACTTATAAAGAAACGCTTTGTTGCACTTCCAAGTTAGACGTTTGCGAAACACGCTGTCGCAAACACTTCTAATTCGCGATGAAGTGGTTTATAAGTAGGATTGTAATGTAAGTATACAAGTAATGCGGTGCAAAATAGCTTCAAGTCCTTTTGTACTAATCGTAATAATTTTTGTATTAATTAAAATAATTAATCATACTCATTATTATAAAAATTTGCTGGTAATTACGGAAAAGAAAAAAATTATATCGCTGATGATAAGAAAATAGTGAGAAAAGAGAAATATTAAAATACTGTTATCATCATTATTTGATTACTCAAGCCGCTATCTGGTTATACTTGACATATTATCATGGAATTTATGCCGATAATTGTTTCCTGCGCAATGTTGTACGTATGTCTACAGAATTAATTCTCCAACAGTTGAAATGCGCGCTTTACAACTTTCCATGCCTATAAATCGGTAGTTAAAATACGGTATATTCGTAGTGTATACACACACACACACACACACACACACGCACGCGCGCGCGCGCGCACACACACGCACGCACACACACACAATATATTTATATATGTGTATATGCTCTGCTTTCAGGAGGCTCATCATGTCGCATCATATCGTTACCGTATGCGTGGTGTGTGTACTGTGCACTGCACATGTACCCTGTTCGGCGCATACGAATTTGTCGGTGATGGCATCGAATAATTCAACAAATACCAAAAATCATTCGGATCCACAAGGACAACCATATATATACTTGAAGAATCAACAGAGATATGATCCAAGTAACTTCACTAGCAATAAACACGACTCTGTAAGATCTCATCCTATTCAACACATTGACAGTAATAGCAATAATAATGTTTCGGTAACCACTGACGCGATATCAACTGCATCATATGATACTCATCTTAAGAAGCAGATGACGGAAAGCTTCAAAGGCGGCGGCAATCTGCAAGATATACGATCCTCAATTAACAACGCAAGTGTATCTATAAATTCAAGAGATACAGAACTTTTGGAGCGTCTTGCTCAAACAGAGTTGGTGACAAATGTCAAACAAAAGTCTGCACGATATAGCGAAGATTTATATACCGTTAATAAATCTAGATTAAAAAGAGATGTGAATGAGAGGTACTTCATGCAGAAGATCTTTGAGGCTTATGGAGATGGAACGAGTATAACTATGGAAGGTTTTGAAAAACTTGTCCGGAAATTGGGTCTACTAAGATTATTTGATACGTTAGAGGTGGATAGTGATACCACTGATAGAAGTATGTATAAAATTAGTAGTAAACACATTAAAAGATTATAGCAAACTTATCAAGAAAATCATCTTCATATGTTACAGATAATAATAAGAATTTTCTAAGTAAAGGCCTACACGATGCAGATAGTAACAATAACAAGGAAAGAGTAAGACATGCGCTATTTATCAAAATAACTTAATTCTTGAGAAATTTGTTTTGTAGTAATTATAATTATATATAATGCGTTGATTCAGTGCATTTACTTTTATTTCAGTGCTTAAATAGTCAAGAGTTGCTAAGTACTGTTGCCCAAGATTCACACTACGTTTTCAATAATAACGCGACGATATTGCCTAGCTGGCTTTTCGAACGGGTGTGTCCGGTTCTTGTGTATCAATTAGCGGCCGAATCCAGTTCGGAGAGAAACGGCTGTATACGAGTACCCGAGAACTACAAGCCTGTCATGCCAATCGATAAATTTTATACAGCGGAGGATTCGGCGCGTAATACTGTAAAAGGTATTATGTGAATGTGAACGAACAAAATGCAATGATCAATCTAGTCTTCTAAAGATAAGTCAGTTCTTTCTGAAGAAAGGCAATAAAAAAATTGTCATTTTTATTTATTCCAGTCTGGGTATATTCAACAGTTAGTATTTTCGTAATTAGTCTTAGCGGATTGCTCGGTGTAGTAGTAATTCCGATCATGGGAAAGAATTATTACCATCACGTGCTACAATTTCTAGTTGCCCTGGCCGTAGGTACTTTAACCGGTGATGCCTTTATCCATCTATTACCACACGCAAGTTTCTTTTATTTATAAGATGTTATACATCCGTAATAAAATGATTTATTTTAATATTACAGTATCTTTCTAATGTTTGTAGGCGATGATGCCACTTCATCACCATGAAAACGATAAATATCATGAACACGAACATCATCACGACGAGAGTAACGCGTTATTAATCGATCATGTGAATCTACATAGTATGAATATGTGGAAAGGATTAATCGCTATGATGGGTTTCGTGACATTCTTTTTCACTGAGAAGGCGTTAAATATGATATCCGAATGGCGAAAGCATTGGCAGCATAAGAAAAAGGTGAATAAAAGAAGAATCTTTATCTTCGTAAACGTAATTTCTTATATTATATCAATCGGTGAAATAATATTATAGTTACCTACGCGCGTGAGAGTAATGAGGGAGAGCGATGGGCCAAACAGCAATGTTGTCGGTGAAAAGCTATGTAAACACAAATACTCTTCGTACCCATATTGTTACGGCGAGATTGCTAGTGAAACTCAAGGTGACAGATGTTTTTTGTATTAAATTTAATGTATATTAATGGTTATCTGGGTTGTCACGTTTCGATCAAAATAGAGCAGCTTGTCAAGTTAATATATTTACTTCAAAGGCATATTGAAAGGTATGAAAAATAATCAATGAAATATGCAGATAATCATCACAATCGTCGAATGAATCATCATGAGAGACCACCTATCATCGAGGAGGAAAAACCATTGACATCCAATTGTAATTCTGTAACGAAAATCGTGACTGATGACATAGAGAAAAAACCAAAGGATGATTGGAGAATGGATGATCCGATTGTAAATGCTAAGAAAAATGCCGATGGTGCTGACGTATCATTAAATGAATCGGAGAGCTATACCGTCATTCTACGTGAACACGAGACCAAACATCACGGCCATAGTCATTCCCATGGTGCGTTTTCAACATTTTGTAATAAAATATAAATACTATAATCTCTTACGCAATGTGTGCATGTCTGATAACATTCATTTCGATTCTAGGCCACGTACACTCGGCTCCCGAATCAATGTCCAACGTGGCTTGGATGGTTGTAATGGGGGATGGTCTGCACAATTTTACGGATGGCATGGCTATCGGGGCAGCTTTTTCAGCAAACATCGCAGGTGGATTCTCCACGGCTATTGCTGTTCTCTGTCATGAATTACCTCATGAACTCGGTATTGTGTCCCTGATTCCTGATGTACCTATAAATATATATGTATTTATAACAACGGCGAATTTGATTGGATCGCAAGTGCGTAGGGGTGTATATTAAAGTCATTGTACACTAATTTAACTAATTTTGAATGTAAAAGGAAAATATTTCGAATTATAAAATACATATTTTATCTAACAGCATAATAAAGTGAATTGAGTATTTCATTATTTAAGGTTTAATGGATTTCGATGTTTATAATAATCATTTTTATGATAATTTGTGTACGACGGCGATAATGTGCGTCAGTGCACACTAAGTGCGTCCATTAGAATTCGCTATTAGTAATACAATAATGTGAATATTCTTGTACAGGTGACTTTGCAGTACTTCTGAAAGCGGGCATGAGTACCAAACAGGCTGTTTTTTACAATTTATTGTCTTCAGTGCTTTGTCTGTTAGGTATGATAGGCGGAATATTGTTAGGAAGTACTCCCGACGCTACCAGTTGGATATTTGCGGTTGCCGCTGGAATATTTATATATATAGCATTAGTAGATATGGTGAGTATACTTTGTTCTACGAAAGATTTACGATAATTTAAGAATGAAATCTTCTTCTTGAATTACTTTTTTTTCCTTAGGTACCAGAATTGTCGTCGAGTCATTCCGCGGAAAGTGGTTCGCGATTACAATGCATTTGGCAAACTTTAGGCTTATCGACAGGCCTTGGAATTATGTTACTTATCGCCGCCTACGAGCACGATCTTAAACATATTTTTGACAACTAGATTAATAAGTAATTGCTCTCGTATTAATGTTATAAATGAAATATCTTCCTGTTACGTTCAAACTATCGTATCTCTTTGTAATTTAATCTCATTAGCAATCTTTCAGCGTTTAACGTTACAATGAAAGTAAATTGTTCTCTCTTTCTTTCTCTCTTCCTTTTTGAAATTATTTCTTGTATTTCGAAAAAAAGAACGTAATGGGAAGGCTACACAAATTAGATCGCAGTTTAGATAAAGCGACAATATCTGAACTCGGATTGCCGATAAAAATACTTTAGAAAAATGAAAGTGTTGAATTCCGAAAGAATAGGATTTCTGTTAGACAGAGTACCAGTAATCGAATTGTCAAGCAGTCGAATTACAAACTGTGTTAATTATTTTCGAACCAATTTGTATTAAAGATATTTCTATACCTTTTCCGAGATCAGCTTGGAGATACTTTTATCGGGTAAGCAAAATTAATTTTTCCATCATAATAAAATAAATTTGTAATTGTCTAGTAGCTATGTAAATAGTTATCAAGAGACTGAACGATTTTGAAACAAGTAACAAATTTTTTTCTTTAAGAAGTTAATCACACGTCAACAACATTAATTATTGTCAGTAATTCACATTCATTACTGTTAAATGTATGATATTGAGGGAGAGTCATGTATAGTATTGTTTTACGAAAAAAAAACATTAACTTTGTACAAGCTCTGTGTAGATTGCATATGGGGCGTTTAGTATGATATTTCTGATTATTATTATCTGGGTAGAAGAACGGTACAAAAGAGTATATTTAAATATTGTTAGTTTGCAGCAAATTTGTGATAATTTTGCATAACCGAGTTACTTACGAATCAATGTATATTTCATTATAGATACACAACTACATTATTACGAGACTTTGAATATTATCATGTTCTTGCAATTTAAATAGATTTATTACTAGATTTTTAGAGATAAGAATGTCAGTTATTTTTTTAATTGCTTGTTATATTTTTTTTACAAGAAAGAAAAAAGTGCTGCACGGTCTTAAAAAAGATTTGATTCTCACGAATCAACACGGCTTAGGAGAAGTATCATACATGACAATATTTGAAACTTGTATTTATGTTTATAATACACAAGTGTTTATTTTCGCCAAATATTAATAATAACGATAATATTAATGATTGTAACGATAACGATAGTAATAATTTTAGGATTTTATATATACTGTATTGAAATGCTAAGAACTTTAAGATATTTTCACGTTGTCACTTTTACTTCATGATCGTTATGATGTGCATATTGAAATGCATTTAAATGTAACGAAAAAATTATAGCTATATAAGAAATTGTATTATACGTTGCTATGATACATTGACTTTTCAAAATTATTGCTATTCTGTCAAAAATTTAATTCCATCCATATATTATAAGTTTCTTTTTTAATTATACATAAGTATTAATATATATTTTTTATAACCAATAAGGCATGCGTGCAATTTTGGTTATTTTTGTAGAAAATGTAAAAGAGCGTTACATGTTTTTGTGTATAATCAATTTTGTTTGTGCACAATTGAGATTTCAAAACTATGCTACTGAGATACAAATAAAATAAACCGCACTCTTCTTTTAATTAAAAAAAACCTATTTTACCTATTTTACTTATTTGGTATTCGAATATAACATTTACTCGGATGATATCTAAGATAATAAAATATCTGATTAAGTATTTTAAATACTCGAATACTGAAATATTAAATGGCGAAAATGATTAAGAAAACAACCCACCAATAGAAAATAGAAAATACATTGCTTAATTTAAATAAATATTAATAATAAAATTATAAAAATTCTTGTTTCTCAAATTCCTTGAAGATACATCTTTAGTGTAGTATGAAAAGAGTACTGAAATAATACAATTTAATATCTATTATATAAAAAAAATAATATTAAAGTAATTAATAACAAGATTTTATAACAACAAAAGTAACTCCACTTTGAAAATCATATAAAAATATTTTGTTATACAGTGACAAAATCATCCTAATTGTTCATCTGCGCTGATAAACTGAACGCCGTACCATTCAAGTCTCACTATTCAAGCTCTCATTTGCAAATGAAGGTTTAAAATTAACAGAATCATTCATTTTCCTCATTAGTTCTGCCATATCATCGAGATTGATTTCTTGTGCTTCATCTACCACATTAATTTCCATTGATTGACTATCTATCGATCATCAATCCTTCTTGCTTTATGGATTTTTCCTCTTCGAGCTGTAGAGACGAATACAGATTACAATTACAGAATATTCATAACCAGCTTTAGATAATTACTGAAGAATTCTACCATACCTTCATAAATTCCAGTTTCAAGTAATAAGTATCGAAGTCTTCTTTTATAGCATGTATTTCAGATTTTATTATTTCTAACTGTTGTTGTAACTTGAAAATTTCCGCATTTATAGTATCAATATTAACTGTCTGCGTTCCAATGCTTCTTGAGTTGCTAAAAAATTAAATTTCTCCTGTTTGCATCATAATCATTATCTCATAATAAATAATAATATATATTTATATAATAATATATTATTATTATTATTCATGAAATAATGCTTATGACAGGAGCAATTTAATTTTTTATATATCTATTATTATTCTCTCGCTCACCTAACCATCATAGCTATAGCTCATTCTTTTGACTGGTACTCGAAACGGCGAATTTTATCGAGTGGTTTACAGTCTAAAATCTGAGACGCCGCCACGTCGAGAAGCACTGAAACACGACAATTATTGACATTTTTTTTGATAATTTCAATAACGGATTTAAACGGATTTTGATGATTTCCTTTTTTAAATCAAACATATGAAAACCAATGATTTTCAGCGCAATCTGGCCTGAAAAATCGCGAACTAGAATTCTGTATATTAAAGTTCTCTTGGATCCGTGAGCTCGCTGCTATTGATCGATCTAAAATATTCTAAAAGAATACACCAATTCGCTTCGCAACAGTTGAATCTGCATATTGGTTTACATATTTTTAATGTTAATAAATAATTTAATGTTTGAATTACATATTTTTTGTTGTCATAATAATGTACATCATAATGTTAAAAGAATTAAATTATTTTATTAACATTGAAAATATGTAATCGATTTATTTACCATTCAATTGCTTTCAGTGTTGTTCTAGTTTTCCCAGGGAAAAAAAATTAATAACACTATTTTGTAACTGTACAATTTCTCATATCTAGTCTATTTCTCCGATTATGTACAAATATATTAACAATTTAGTTTAAGTATTTTTATTATATGTGAAGGAGATAAATTCGCTGTATGTGCGTATGTAATCAAATACTGAGTAGCCAGATTAATAATAGCAATTCTTTTTAAAATACCAGAGTGACATTTTCATTAAGCGCAGCGATAGTATAACAGCAAAAGTAACTTCACTTTGAAAATCATATAAGAATATTTTATTATACAGTAACAAAATCATCCCGATCGCTCATCTGCGCTGACAAACTGAATGCTGTATCCGTACTAGTCTCACTATTCAAGCTTTCATTTGCAAACGAAGGTTTTAAATTAATAGAATCATTCATTTCTCTCATCAATCCCGCCATATCGTCATCGGGATCGATTTCTTGTGCTTCGCCCACCACATCAATTTCCATCGATTGATTATCGATCATCGATGCTTCTTGCTTTACGGGTTTTTCCTCCTCGAACTGCAGAGACGAATATAGATTACAGAATATTCATAATCAACTTCAGATAATTATTGTAGAGTTCTATCATACCTTCATAGGTTCCAGTTTACACGGCGGCGGCAAGTTCATGTGAAATACACAATTGGAATCGAAGATTACCGGCACTGGTTCGTGACATTCGATGTCCGCTCGTACAGCTCCGCATGCTTTGAATAAAACTTGATGTTGGTCCTGTGAATAATATCAAACAATGAAACAGATCAAGCTATGTAATTATACATCTTTTTTTCATAGAAAGTAATATAAATGTGTACCTTTAATATATGTTTACGACAATGCTTAGCCGACGGAAGCGTTCTTTCACCACATTTTACACCACCTTCGGTAAATACGCATTTTGATATATTGGGTGGTTTTTGAATAGGCTCGGTTACCTGAAGCATAATTTTTATCATACACACAATGATGTAAGTGATGCACATTTATTTGAATGTCAATGATATAAATAATATTCGAATGCGAACATGAAATAGCAAATAGAGCACTGATCTATTATGCCAGAAATCCCGCGTTTGATCCCAATAGGAAATATTTATGCTTGTGTCTCCTCTCGGAAAAGGCCGGCAATCTCCCGAGAATATCCCACAAAAATACTTCTCGAAAAATCCACCGTTCGGAATCGACATTAAAACTGTAGGTCCATATGCTCATGGCAATTAAATAATCAACATGGGCACCACAAGCATATGAGAGAGATATAACACATGCCAGAGATCTAACGTAAAAAAAAGAAGATAAATAATATTTGTGATATTACCTGTGCACGACGTTCTAATGACTTCCTGTAAAGTATCGCTTCAACACCACTCCGTCTATGATAACGATTTAAAGCTTTTAGTTTCTCATAAAGCTTTTTCTCTTTTGCAGTTTCTCTTTTTTGACTGTATATACTACCTATATATTGCATATAATTTATTAGAAAAGATAACAAAATGTTGAAATTATCTAAAATATACTTACATAATGTTTCTTTTTCTTTCTTCAGAGCAAGTAAATATTTTCGTCTTTTCTCCTTTAGTATATATTGAAGTCTTCTGAATTGATCGATATAAAGAGACTGAAGTCTAATTAGTTTTTCTCTCGCGATATAAATTACCTCTTCTGCGGTAAAGATACCGGCGTGCCTTAAAAAATTAATACTAATAATTTAGGGAGTAAGTAGTATCTTATTCTTGCGCACAAAGCAACTACAAGAAAATTCAAGATTAGGAATGCAAAATATTCTCTCTCCTCTCCAACATTATACAATTTTTTAA